GGTTCGGATGGCCCCGTCTCGTCGAGATAGCCGATTTTCATATATAATTCGTCCAATTCTGACGTACGGTTTGAAAGTTATGACCTGTTCTTCGTAACAAGTTATGTCCTGAAGTCCGTCTGCAAGACTGGACTTCATCAGAACATTGGACTTAGCTTGAAGCCCGCCAAGCCCGCCTAAGGATCGCCTCTGCATTACAGAGTCAAAGCGCACATGCTCAACCAAGCCCGCCTAAGGTTCGCCTCTGCATTACAGAGTCAAAGCGCACATGCTCAGCTCTGCGTTTTCAACATCAAAACGCAGAGTTAATCGCTAAAACAGCACAACTGTGCGTTTTCAGCCGTTAACAGGGTTAATCTCTAAAACAGCACAACTGTGCGTTTTCAGCCTTTAAACAGGCTCAACTCTGCGTTTTCAGTCTAGAAACGCAGAGTTAATCTCTAAAACAGCACAACTGTGCGTTTTCAGCCTTTAAACAGGCTCAACTCTGCGTTTTCAGTCTAGAAACGCAGAGTTAATCTCTAAAACAGCACAACTGTGCGTTTTCAGCCTTTAAACAGGCCAGAGGTTATCCTTGTGATATAACATCAAAACGCAGAGTTACGGCCCAACTCTGCGTTTTCAGCCTAAAACGCAGAGTTCATCTCTAAAACAGCACGAACTGTTCGTTTTCAGCCTAAAACAGGCTTAACTCTGCGTTTTCCAGCAGACATCTAACTCTGTGACGCAGAGTTAAAGCACAAACGCACACATAACGTGCGTTCTTCAACAAACTCAACCATGCGTCCCAAACTCATGATGCAGAGTTGAATTTCAACGCACAAGCTACCTGTGCGTCTCCAATTCCAGAACGCATGCGGCCTGTGCGTTTCAAACCTTTGACAAAGGTTTAACTCTGCGTCTCAGGCCTTAGACGCAGAGTTAAGGCCCAGAACGCCGTTTTTAGCGTTTGACTCGTTCAAGCACGTAATGAACAGTTCCAGGAACTGTTTTTCCCCACGATTTGAGGGATTTTCGCCCCACTTAAGAGCGGATTAAGGGGGTAGTTACCACCCTAAATCCCCTATAAATAGTGGGAAACTCAACTGAGTTCAGATCCTTCTTTTTTGGGCAGCAAAGAAGCGATCTGCAGCTAGCTTGGGGATCGAATTTTCTCTGATCAACAGAGGGAGATTCGGTCAAAAGGCTGGCACATTGGGGCTCTTGGATGAGCTCTTGAATCATTTTGGAAGGCTTTTATTGAAGCCTTTGAAATTATTCGGCCTTGGCTTATAACCGGCTTTCGGTTCAAATCAACTCTTTTTCAAGATTTCAAACTCGTTCAGAGTTATCAACTCGATCAGAGTTCAAAACTTGCTCTGCAAGTTCTTCTAAAACTCGTCAGAGTTATCAACTCGATCAGAGTTCAAAACTTGCTCTGCAAAAGTTCTTCTAAAACTCGTTCAGAGTTATCAACTCGTCAAGAGTTATTTCAAAACTTGCCACGCAAGTTCTCCACAGCGTCAAATCGTGAGGAGAAGACATCGTTCCAGTGAATCAAGACGTTCGGATCGTCAACGAGAAGCAAACTCGACGCGAGCATTCGAGGGAGGCACTCCATCGCCACCGTGAAGAACCCAGAATTAAACAAAGGGGAGAATCAAATTCATTCTCCTCTCTTTTGTAATCAGAATCCAAATTGTAATTGATTTTGAGAGAAATACAAGTCAATTTTTTTTTCATTGTCTTTTTACTGCAAAATTTCCAACAAACAAAAGATGGCGACTCTGCTGGGGATCGAATTTTTTATCTCATTAAGAGAGGGAGATTCGGTCAAGGGCTTTTTGGATCTGAGACTTGGCAGCAAAGGGGCTTTTTTTTGGCTGACTTTTTGGGGATCCTTGATCGAGCATCTTGCCGCGTTCTGCAGCAACAAGGAGTTTTGGAGACCAGCAACAGGAGCAGCATTCTCTTGGCTTATAACCGACTTTCGGTTCAAATCAACTCTTTTTCAAGAGTTCAAACTCGTTCAGAGTTATCAACTCGATCAGAGTTCAAAACTTGCTCTGCAAGTTCTTCTAAAACTCGTTCAGAGTTATCAACTCGTTAAGAGTTATTTTCAAACTTGCCACGCAAGTTCTCCACTGCGTCAAATCGTGAGGAGAAGATATCGTTCCAGTGAATCAAGACGTTCGGATCGTCAACGGAGAGCAAACTCGACGCGAGCATTCGAGGGAGGCACTCCACCGCCACCGTGAAGAACCCAGAATTAAACAAAGGGGAGAATCAAATTCATTCTCCTCTCTTTTGTAATCGGAATCCAAATTGTAATTGATTTTGAGAGAAATACAAGTCAATTTTTCTTTCATTGTCTTTTTACTGCAATTTTCCAACGAACACTTTGCTCCTAAAAATTCATTAAAATTCGTTCAATGCCCTCACCTTTTAGACGTTCATGTGGTTAGGGATCTGGTTAAGACAGGATCAAGTGCATTACACGTGAGAATATGTGAGAGCATTGTTGAAATTTAAGAGAGATTTTTCGCAACAAAGTAAAGTCTAGTGATTGATTAGAACAACAACTAATTTTGTTGGTGGTTTATATATAAATTTGAAATACTAGATGGTTTGTGTAAAATGACTCTAAATATAAGGTAGTTTCTAGTAAATAATCCCTAAGCTAATTTTGTATTACATCATCACCTAAATAAAGGAGCATTAATCAATTAGATCAAGAAGTGGTTGATGTAAAAAAGCAAGAAATATATTACCACTATATTGATTATCATTAGCAACTTTGGACATAGAAGATCTTGTATACATTGTTGTCTCATGTGTATATGGCAAAGATCACCTATATGCTTGTTAGTTGATTGGATAAGATGATCATTGGTTTCTATCGTTCACGTCACCATCTTTTTAAAGGCAATGCATGTGTTAAAGAAAGGAGCTTGAAGTTGATTATAGACAGGCTTAGCTTCTTCTTGTGATTAGCATTGTATACCATATGATGCTAACCTACTGCCTAATCTTTTTGTAGTCAATGTTAAACAAAATTGAGAATTAATTAGCTACGACACTTAGGAGACCCTCTTTGGTCATCATCTTGCATCAATAGGATAATGCTTAACCAATACTAAGATGGAGGGTTGTTTCCCCTTAAAATATGTAAGAAAACGAGAGAAGAATTGAACAATTAATGTAGTGCAAGGAATATTCACATGATCTTCACTAGCTCCATAAGATCATTTCATTTGTTCCTTTGTACTTTAAAGTAATACCTCCCCCATTCTTCATAGAAAGCAATTTCTATGTATATTTTGATGAAAAGCTTAATTTTATCATGTGTACCCAATTTGATCCTTTCTTAACTTTCTTTCTTAGCTGTAAAGATTAGGTAAGTCAATAAAGAGTTGGCTAAATTTGACAAAACTGCCACAGAAATTTGGAGCATAACGCACTTGTTACAAGTTTGATATATGATTCCTACATAATAAATTGAGAAATATTAATAATATTTTTCATATTTGGGATAAATATCCTGCGAAAGCAAAGTATATAAAGCTTATAGCAATGATCAACAACCGTTGCTATAGTTTGCAACCATTTTTATTAGAGTATCTTTTATAAAAATATACAAAAATTCATGTTAGCAAAACTCAATCATTATTAAAGTGTATTACCAATGAGAAGCAACCATTGCTATAAGCCTATAAAGTTTAAAATTTTATTCCATAAAAAATAGAATATCCACATTATTAAATACTAACCATTGCTAAAATGCATTAAAAATGGAAAACAACCATTCCTATAAGGTTTTAAAAATATTTTCAAAAAATATAAAATAGTAGCAGAAATATTATAGCTTATTTTATTAATTAATTGTAGCAATTTGATATGCACCTATTTTATACCAGTTATTTTGTCTACTTTAAAAGTAATAAAAATTCAAATGAAACAAATCATAGCCATTGTACAAAAACATTTAACTTAATCAAATTTAATAATTT